CAATTCAAGGATCAAATTCAATATTTTAAATTAGCCCACTAAATAGAAAAGTAGCCTAATAAAATTGTGTACAAGCTTACAATAGGCCTACTTAAAATAAAATAACAATTCTTACAAATTAATTCTTACTATTAATTATATAATAGCCTATAATTATAATTAACATATTGGTACTGTTTTAGGGTTATATTATTTATTTCAACTATTTTGTTCATACATATACATTTAGCTAACTATAGGCGCTACATGCTATACTAGCTAAAATTGCATTGTTTTAATTAAGGTTACATGCTAAATATGACTTTATTTAATCATTTAAATAGTAATCTGTCACTGTTTGGATAGAGGCTAATTATGGGTGAGACAAATTGTTTGCAATCACCATACATGACGCCCTAACGATGACAGACCTTAATGGAGTCACACAGTCTCGTTTAAAGAGGTGTAAAGCTTGTATTTTGTGATTGCCATTCTCGTGTTGTATATAGCCTACTTAAGGTTAGTGTGTCTCCGCCTGCTTAGTGAGATACACATTCGAAGCGTCGGGCGGCCCATTGACCGCTATAAGACTGCATGTGTATTGGGATTCCCGGGATCAGACAAGATTCCGGGTGACTGATAAAAAGCGACTTATAGGGAACCTAACTGAGTTTGACACCACCACCACCTATATCATTTATCTACCAAAAACAAACCGAGCAGTAGCTCGTTCTGAAAACTTATAATCGTCGCTTTCATTGTTCACTTTGTTTCAGAAATTAATTATGTAGTCTAATTATGAACCTAAATTATTTTCTACATTTGTTGCAGGTGTGGTTCAAGAATCGACGGGCAAAATGGAGAAAAAGGGAGAGAAACCAACAATCAGAGCTGTGTAAAAACGGTTTCGGCCCTCAATTCAACGGACTTATGCAGCCCTACGATGACATGTATCCCAGCTACACGTACAACAACTGGGCTGCAAAGGGGCTCACGTCGGCCTCTCTGTCAACCAAAGGCTTCCCCTTTTTCAATTCCATGAACGTCAATCCGCTGTCGTCTCAGACCATGTTCTCCCCACCTAACTCCATCTCTTCAATGAGCATGTCCTCCAGTATGGTTCCGTCTGCGGTCACCGGCGTACACGGATCAAGTTTAAACAGCCTCAATAACTTGAATAACCTCAGCAACCCCTCTCTAAATTCGGGGGTTCCCACGCCGACGTGCCCTTACGCCCCACCGACACCTCCGTATGTTTACCGGGACA